TTCTCCTATTCTTCTTCCTCTTCCCCTGGATCCTCTTCGGGTTCTTCTTCCATTACGTCCGTGCGAGAATAGGGATATGAGGAATACATGAAAGCCTTAAGTGTATAATTTCGTAGTATTCCAAAATACTCTGATAGTATTTTAAATCTTTATGTTTGATTCTAAAGTTTCTTGGTATATAGGGTTGGTAAGTTTTAGATTTGTTGCCCACCATGACCATTCCTAAACACATGTTGGACATATCTCGTATAAATATAGTTGATCATGCTATATTTATCCCAAATATGATTACATAACTGTTTAGGCTTAACCATAGTGTTTAACTCCTCTAAATACTTTTATATAGTTCTTATTATGACATTGCTTCTAGTATGTATGCATGCATGTATACTCTTATAAAAATACCTATATTTTAAAAGGTATACTTTTAGTCGGAGTGTTTTAGTCCCATTGTATTTATAGTTGTATATCTTAAATGGTTTGATATACTTAGTTCACTATAAAGAATGCTCTGCTACCAATCTGTCACACCCCCAAACCAGAACGACGGAAACGTATGGGGGCGGATGACTTCATGTACAGTATCATAACAATTTAATAATAGAGATCAAAGCATTTCAACCATTGCAATAGGTTAAATTGTGTTCAAAACATTGTTTACATAACATCGAATGCATATGACAAAATGAATAACGAGATGCGACGACGTCCAATCCACCAAAAACTTTTGTGGTTACCTATTTACTGATTTCCTGAGAATACAAGTGATTTTGAAAAGAGTGTCAACGATTAAGTTGGTGAGTTCATAAGCATTTTGTATGGGACGGATTTGTAATTGTTTCATGTAAAATAGTAGTGTATGCTTCCAGAATATCCAATATTTTCTTTAAAATGAACTGTAGTATATGTTAGAGCTTCGTTTGTTTTCAGGGTTTTTTTAGATCCAAATCATTCTAGAAACGAAAGCCACACACGAAATCTGGGACTATTCTGGAGCTTGTCCCCAAAAAACTGATATACGGTTTAAGAAAAGAAAAAAGAAACACAAATAAAAAAAGAAACAGACATTGATCCAATTGGGGAGTTGGGGTTTCTTTTTGCTAGCGAAAACTAAGCTAATCAACAACCCCTCTTGATGTGTGACTTGTTCGATGCACGTGGGTACCAGGTGTAAAAATAAAAATAAGAATAAGGAGAAGGGAGAAAATAGGAAGGGAAGGGTTCAAAACGATGAATGGTGTTGTGTTTTTTATGATTTTGTTGTATGTGTGTTATGCTCTGTTTTTTTTCTCTTTATCATCCAATTTGATTTTTGCAAGTTATATATATATATATATATATATATATATATATATATATATATATATATATATATATATATATATATATATATATATATATATATGATGGCAGAAGGGCTTGGATGTCTTTAATTCTAATGATTTCGGATTCACTGGTTTGGGGAGTTTCTCAATGTAGGAGAAAGGGTGGTTGGAAGGCTTCCAGTGCATTGTGGACAACAAATGATTGGTCCTTGTGGGTTACTTTATCGATTCGCTTGGTAGTGGTGGTGGTGGTATGTTTATATGTGTGTTCTTGACTGATGAAAAACAAACCAATATATGTGTTGGTTGTTGTCGAGAGAGAGAGAGACAGAGAGAGAGGCCCACTTATTTTTTTTATTGTTTAAATAAATAAATAAGTATTAGATTTAAAAAAATGAAATAAAAATAGAAAATAAATACCCCAAGGGTATTAAAGTCGTTTCAGTTTATTGAGGGACCAAATCCGCAACGAAACTAGTTCAAAATGACCACAAAGCCAAAAAATTTGAGGTTTAGACTAAACCTAAAAAAATGCATACCACAAACCATTTTTGAAGTTTTGTCTTTGAAAAAATAATTTTTCGTTTTTAAATGAAAATTTTGGTTTGAAATTTGGGACGCTACACAGTAAAAAAATATACTACACTCTTTATTCAGACATGAATATAATGTGAATCGTGAGAGCTGATATTAGAAGAAAAATATAAAATTTATATTTTATATAAGACTATAACAATATGAGTGACTATTTGTAGAGAATAAAAAATCACGAATTTTGGTTGATTTGATTTCATTTTTCTTAAAAGTAGCATCTAAAAGTTAAAAAAAAAAACAAAAAAAAAATGTTTTAAATACGTTAAAGATGATGACTAGCATAGTTTAATGCAACTTGTAATTATGTTTTAAAACACATGTATAGTACTACTTCAAATTAGTGACTGAGATTCATTATCACATTCTTATTTTTTTCATTCTCAATCGCACATGCCCTATATATCACATTCAAATTACTAAGAAAAATAACCAAAATTTATTTCAGTTTTTGAAAATTAACACATTTTCTGTAATGTCACATTTGAGAATTATTCATAAAATTCGGATTTTTTAACAATTTTTTTTCTTCCAAAAATTCTCTCAACTCATATTGGAAATGTCATTTCGAAGTGTCTACTTTATCGTTTTAAATCAAAATGTATGATTTTAAACTCTCTAATCCTATACACTTCATATTTTCTATGTTAATTTATTTTTTTTGTTAGATTTAAGTAAAAAAACAATGTATTTATCGGAATTTCAAAATTGTTCTTGAAATTTTGGTGTTTTTTTCCCTTCAAAATCAAAAATTTCATACTAGAATTCAAAATTTTAGTCTGAAACGTAATAATTTGTCAAAAAGTTTGTTATATAAGTTTTTATCCAAATTCTTTTAAGAACATAAAGTTCTTTACTTTCTTTTATTTTTTCACATCTATTTTGGTAAAAAAAAATTAGGGAAATATTGGTACAATTATAGACTTAAAACATTACCTATTTAAGAATCATATAAACTTTCAAATTTTTGAAAATGTATGTAATGCTTTATAAAACTGATAATATTTGTAAAATTTAAATCTTAGATCCGATAATCACGGGTGACAATTTAGGGTGTATTCGACACATAGGAAAAATAATTTGTTCATAGGTAAAAACTTTTTACTTTTATTTTAAACAAAAATATTATAATTCAAAATCATTTTCAAATAGTTTTTGGAGCTTTTAGCTTTTCAAAACATTAAATTTTCTTGTATATATTTATATTTTTAAAATCTAAGAATTATTTTTTCCAAACACCCTTTCAAAATAAAAGCTACACTTTCTACTTTCTACTTTCAACTACCAACTAGTAGTTAGTTTTATCATAGGTCACAACTTGAGCCTCTGCTAAATTTTTTGACATGAATACTCCTCTTGATTCTAAACTTGCACGTATGGCCATTATGGTTTCTAAAATGTGAACAAATGGTCTTTGAGATTGATAAAATGAATACTTTGCCTTTTTTTTTAAATTTACTTCTTTTTTTTAAACAAAAATATAGTTATTAAAAATAAAAAGTAAATAAACCCCTACCTACCCCACCACTACCCATATTTTCAAAACTATAAAAGAAAAAAAAACATCATCCAGTTTTTGACCTTACCTTGTGTGTGTATCCGACTGTACAGAAAACATCCCCTTAGTGCCCTTAGTCTTAAATCAAATTGCAGCTATAAAGAAACAACACCAAATCGATATATGTTGCAAGTTTCTTCATATTCTTTGTGCATCTTGTAGCAACATAAGAGCACAACTCCTACCTTACTCTAGATCAATTTACAGGTGTGCAAGAGAAATGAAGAACAAATGCGTTTAATGGAGATGGCATGATGATGATCTAATCTAGGGTTATAGTGGTTTAAGATGGATGTAGTCGATTGAATTATATATTAAATATAATGGCTCAATAGTATGGGTTTTCGATTGCCTTAGAGCAGTGTATCTCTGAAGTAAGCATGAAACAAAAGGTATTCTTCTTCTTCTTATGTTACCTTTTTATAGGTGTAAAGATGGTGCGTTGTGTAAGGTTAACTATGGAAGTATATGTGGTGTATGGTGGCTTCACAGATGACAATCTGGGTGAACGAGGGTTGATGAGGAACCCTTGTGAAGATGATGATGCAGATAGAGGATGTTGATGATGGATGATGGGTTTGCAATGATGTACCATCTACTGAAGCAACAAATGAAATTGGATTGGAGATGGTGGTGTGAAGTGATAACCTAATGATGATATTGGTAATATCTCAAATGGGTGAAGGAGGGTGAAGTTGGTTGATGTAGGGATGGTGCTTGAGGTGGAGAAGAATGAAAACGGTAATAAAAGAAATGGTTTGGGGGTGTGGCTGTTTTTATTTTCTTTTCTTTATTCTAAAGTGAAAATTATTGAAATAAATACAAAATAAAATAAAAAGGGTATAAGTCTTTTTATCTGGATTAGAGACCAATCACACAAGTTTTATAAACTACAAGAAAAAAGAATTAATAAGGATTAAAGTTGTAACCTTTGTTAAACCACATGAACCATTTATGTAAATTTTTTTCATAAAATTATATTACAAATGACACTTTTTGTACAATATTGTCATAAGGCATAACTAACTAGGGACCATTTTTATATTCTTTTTTGTATAAGGACCTCTTTAGTAAAATTGAAGGAGTTATATAAGAAGAAAAGAAAACTTTGGCAAATCACCAATGGGTTAAAACGTTTAAATATGTATTTGAATGTGTTATACCTCCTAAATTGGTTATTAAATAAATTCAGATTACTATTATAATAAATCAATTTTTAATCATATTTAACATCTTAATTAAGTTTAAATTTTATATAAAAAATGTTTTCAAGTATACTGAGCATGTATTAAAAAAGTATTTGTGTTGTTATCCATCGTTCCTAACACTATGCATCTTATCTACTAAAATCTTATTAGGGAACAGTCTTTCTAAATATAATTTAGGTGATGTAGTCATAATTTTATAATTATAAGATTAACAATATGTTAGCAAGCAAACAAAAAGAAAATATAAATATAAAAAAAATCAACAAACAACAAAAAGAAATCTGTTTAAATAGCGCTGATTTACGTGATTCTCGCTTCAAACCCCAAAGCTTCCTTCTTTTCAACGCTCTCAGTTGCTATTTTGCGAGCACTACCAAAACAAAACTATTTCAATTTGAAGATGATGATAATTATATCCATAAATCATTTCAATCATGAACAAGAACCCACTTCGATAATCACTCCATTTTGTTTCTAATCCGTCAAACTGAAACGAAAACGAAGCGATAATGGAATTCCCTCCAAGTTTTTTCAAAGGGTTTACTTCTTCTGAGGAATATGCGTTGAAGGAGATGATGATGATGAGAGGGGGCTGTGGTCGGACGACGTCGTCTTCTTCATTGGTGTTGGATAATGAAAGGGGAGAGATAGTGAGGGCTCTGGTTAGACCTGGCAGTATTCATCATCATCATCATAATTCTCATGTTCATCATCATCATAAGGGGGCAAAAGCAGAGAAAGCTTTAATGGCTTTGAGGAATCATAGCGAGGCGGAGAGACGGCGGAGAGAGAGAATCAACGGCCATCTCTCTATGCTTCGTAGCCTCATTCCAGGCACTACTAAGGTCAATTTCGTTTCTTCTCTTATAATGTTAGAATTTTTGTTGGTTCTTTTCAAATAATTTATCATGGTGTTTGAATATTTGATTCGATCACTAATTTCTGGGCAAATATGTATCTGGGTTTACTTTAAATTAGTTCTATCGGTTTTTTTAAATCGTTTTAGGCACTTCCCATGGCCACATTTTGACTTTTGAGGTCAATCTTATTTGTTGTTAAAGGCTGAATTTAGCATGGATTTCCCCCATATTATACACTTATATATTTCTATTTATCGCACTTGTCAAAAAAGAGTAATGTGCTTCTCAAGATTTTCCCAAAAAATTGAACATTTGGCTTCAATTGTCATCAATAAAAGACGATTTGCGGGTGGGTGTTCCTTCCATGTTCCTATTCCTTTAGCAAAGTGCCTTTTTTCCTTTGGGAAGATAAAGCATCTAAACAACCCCTTCTTTATGCTTTATTGAAAAAAAAAAGATAATTGATATAAATGTAGAATTTCCTAATTATCCATAACCTTAATCATTGATTACCTTATTATCTTGAAAACATAAACTCAACAACCATTATGTTATATCGGAAGGAAATTATTTATTGAGGTAAATGTAAAATTACCTAATCATCCTTAACTTCATAAAAAAGGTTCTGGGTTGGGTTCAAAATCTACCCCATTTGATTTTCACCCTTTTATCAAACACCCGATACAAATTTTTTATTAGTTGTCAAGAAGTCAACGTTATACCAAGATATTATATCTAAATTTCTTTTTATGAACAAACAGATGGACAAAGCCTCATTACTAGCCGAAGTCATCTCCCATCTAAATCAAATGAGGAAAACAGCCACCGAATCCACCAAAGGCGTTCTTATACCAATGGACATCGATGAAGTAAAAGTCGAACAAGAAGATGACACCATTGGTCTCAATGGATCCTCATATTCCATAAAAGCCTCTTTATGTTGCGAATATAAACACGAAGTCCTCTCAGATTTGAAAGAAGCCATTGATGGACTCCATTTAAAAACAATTCGGGCAGAAATTGCAACTTTAGGAAGCAGAATGATTAACCTTTTTGTAATTACAGGTAGCAAAGATGATGTGAACATCAAGGATATTGTGAGTTCGGTTCGCCAAGCTCTCAAATCGGTGCTTGATAAGTTTTATGCCTCACAGGAGTTCTCGGAAAACAATGCGCTTTCAAACAAAAGACGGAGGGTGTCATTTTTTACCCCTGAAAACTCTTCTTCTTTAGGAGACTTTTGGTAAATGAAGTGATATCTGCAAGGCCCCATTTGTTATGCAGGACAGGACAGAATAGTAGTAGTTCAGTTGTATGTGAAAAAGTCGAAAATTTCTTCCTCATAGTCATGTCCCGTGTAACAAACGGAGCCTAAATAGATTGTGTTTCTATGTGTTTGGGCATACGATATCAAATTTAACATATTTCGTTTCTGATTTAGAAATGGAAGGTCATTTGTACGATAGTTAAACATAATATGTATGTCGAACAAGTTATTGTAAGTTTTAGTTGTAGATAATGAAATCATTACATAGATCTCTGTTCATCATTCTTCTTTTCACGATGGATGGTATATATGTTATGATATTGGGTTAAGTGTGCAAGACATAGTAATTTACTTTCATTTTTATTTTTTGGGTATTAACATATTTGTTATGAATTATACGGATAATAAGTATTTTTAATTTCTGGAAAGTATCTTATTTTAGGAAATTATCTTGTTTCAATTTTTAAATTTGGTAATTGGGATCATTTAGTATTTGAGTCGATTTGGGTGATCTTTGTTTCTATATTAGAGTCTTTTGTTTATCCGTATTTAAAGGGTAGTTGTTCATGAAATATAAATTATGCTTGAAGTCAATTGCTTTTAATCTCTTAGAATAGTTTAACCTAGTCTCCTCTCATACGAGATTAGGCATTAGTAATACTCACAGCTACAGGAAGCACAAATACAGGTCCTGTCACGAGATCTAGATCTCGGGCCGTAACAAATTTGATATCACAGCCACTCGTGATGTCTACTCAACAGGAAGAATTGATGAAGAAGCTAGAAGCATTCATGGTCCAGCAAACTGAAAATACGCTTGAACTGAAGGGGGGCAATCGAAGCCTTGCAGCCAAGCATGCGACGCTGGAAGAGAGTTTAATTATCACAATCCCAAAACAAGGTCAACAAAAAGGGTCTGAAGCAAGCGAGGAAGAAGAAGAGATGGACCAACAATTTGAAGATAGCAGCGAACTAGCCTAAGGAAGGGGCAAGGGCATCGATACCGGCAACGCACCAGAAGACAAGACGACGGGTTCCTTCACGGTGTTAGGTTGAGGCAGGGGGTCGTTTGGATCAAACCCCTTAAGAACAGGACAGGGAGTAGGAAAGGGGTTTGATTCTTGGTGCAATGCAGAACCACAATAATTCAAACACCGCTGGGATTTTGACCATTTCGGGTACTTTCTAGTTTCTTGAGCATTATTGCAGATTTTTTGGAGGCTAGCGGAGCGGGATCTTTTGGGAAGCAATTGGACTTGGAGGACAACGAGGATTTTAGGCTTGATGGCTATAGAGGTGATGCATGGAGTGGGATTGTCAATTATTTGAAGGGTTGGAAGAATTAAACTTTAAATTTGAAAGCCACGGGAGAATTCTTGAGTGTGCAAGATCGATGTTTAGGAATTTGCGGAAGTTTTGAGTGATGTGGAGAGACAAATTGGGCTCAAATTGAAGAAATATTGAAGAGAAATGGGCTAGAAGCAGATTGGATTCGAACTGGGCCAATGAATTAGCTGTGGGGGCCCAAGACTTGAAGAAGCCCAAAAATTTCCGTCGAAGTCACGCGGCCCGCGTAAGATTCCCCGCGCCCCGCGTGGATTCCTGACAAGGGCAATTTCGGGATTTTACTTAGAGCTCTATATTGGGAAGGTTGGTGTGCCTCTTTAGCATAATCTTGGAGGTCCGATTTTGATACTTTTCTCTCTGGAGTTTGGAGCATTTTTGAAGGCCAAGAACCCTCAAGAACTTCACCATTTCATCTCTTAATTCTTGCTAAATGTTTGGTACAATCTTAACTAACTTTGTTTCCTTGAGTTTAGTCATGCTTGGCTAAACTAATCTTGGTTGACTTTTGTTGAATCCTTTGAACTTTTGTTGAATATTGAAGAATCCATGAATTTGTGTTTGAATCTTTATGAAAATGTTTTGTGTTTTAACATCTTATCATTACTTGCATGTTTTTATTCATGAGTTTAAATGTGTTTGTGGTGATTAGTTGGCTAATTTCTTGATTAAGTAAATGATCTTCAAATTAGCAAGCAACAAGTGATTCTTGTGTTAGTTTTACTTCACACAATCATAAAAACATTTTCTCCAACATGGTGGTGAAAGCATTTGACCCCTCTTGGATTTGGTGACTTTTTTGGTTCTTAATGCTAGTTGACTTTCACTAATTACATGCTTAATGGAATTAGTGACTTTAACTAAGGAAATTGTTATGAGCTTCTCTAACCATTTCAACAATTAAGAAAAGTCTAGGTAATCTCAAGCTCCTTGGATTACTATAGCCAAATTAAGGGTTTAAAACAAGTATTGCACCATTTGATTCTAATGATATGTTCATCAAAAGTCAAAGTGAGGAAACTTTAAGTCAACCATCCTTCTCTTATTGATTTTACATCAAACTCTTATTTTTGTTGAAATTGTCTATTTAAATCTTAGTTAATTCTAGTTTGTTTCAAGTATTTCAAAACACAAAAACCCCCAGTTTTAATTTATTGTCATTTTCCAAGTATTTTTACAAAGAGATTTTTCGTAGAGTTATTAAATTGAACCAATCCCCGTGGATTCGATCCCTTTACCACTATACACTATTTTAGTGTGTAATAATTAGGGTTATTAATTTTGTTGGCCTCGACAACCACCAAATTTTGGCGTCGTTGCCGGGGATTGGTTTATATTTAATCAGTTTGTTTCTCTATGCCTAGATCTCATTGTGCAGGTACTCTAGTTTAAAACTAAAAAAAATTGAAAAAAAAAATTATGGTTCAGAAATGAACACTCCTTGCATTGAAGATAAACTTTCTGAGCTAGCTCAGTTAGTTATGATGATTGAAAGTGACCAAAGTGTGCAACCCTCGCCTCTTCTTTGCGATAATTGCGCCCAAAATGGACATCATTCCGATATGTGTCCATATTCACAAGGAGAATGGGAAGAAGTGCAAGAGAAGGGAAGCTACTACTGGTCAAACCAATGGATTTATGATCAACCTCAACATGATCAATGGTGGGACAACAACCAAGCTTGGGGATACAACCAATACCAAAGCCCATATCAAGCTTGGAGAAATGAAAAACACCAACCAACTCCACAATTCCAACATCCATATCCTCCACCTCCTCAACAACCTGAAATTCCAAGCATGTCCTTAGAGGACATTGTGAAGAGCATTGCCACATCTACCCAAATTTTCCAAGAAACAACCCAAGCTAGCCTCAAAAGCTTAGAGAAACAAATAACACAAATTTCTCAAACAATAAGTATAATGGAAGCTCAAGACAAACTACCGTCTGAAGAGAGCCCAAGGCATAACACATGTGCCATTCCTTTGAAAGATGAGAAAAGTTTTGATGGCCCAAGAGTGTTATGTGGAGAAGAGGAAGAAGGAGTAGAAATGGAAGAGGCTGTCAAGGAGGAAGAATAAATTGAGAAAGATGTCAATGAAACTATAGAGGACGTGTTGGGGGTTAACGAAAGAGAGTTTGAGCCACCCACTACCATTGATAAACTAACTCCAGTGGTAGACAAACCACAAGAGCCGAAAACGATAAATCTGTCGAACCCTTTAAATGATACATATCCCGAGAAGGAAGACACCCAACCGGTCACCAACTCGACCACTATATCGAATATGGAAGAGTTGGTCACCTTACTAAACAAGTACAAGAAAGAATATGGTTGGATTCTTTCTATTATCAAAGGTCTAAGTCCGGTATGGTTTTTCCGTAAAAAGAAAGTCAAATACAAGAAAAGAGTCCCAATGGAGATGTGGAAATTAAAAAATGTTGACACGGGGCAAGTTTTCAAGGTTAATGGACATTGGTTGAAGCCATTATATGAAGGTTTTGATTCAAATGTCCAAGATGTCGTCCATTTGGACACCCCAAAGTGTTAAAGTGAAGTTTGGAGGCGTCTCGCCGAAGACATTAAAGAAGGGCATTTTTGGGAAGCATTGTGCTTTCGTCTTTTATAAAGCGAATAAAATGATTTTGAAAATGTTCATTTTTGAAAAATTTCAAGCTTTATTTTCACCTTTCGTCCAAACTTTTGTTGTGTTTTTGAAACCTGGGATTTTGCGGGAATCATTTTGGCCAAAAATCAAGTTTTTAGAAAAATTTCAAATTTTGAAGTGCAGGAAGTCACGCGGCCCGCGTGAAATTCCACGCGGCCCGCGTAAGGTCTTGTGCGGCTTATGTGCGGCCCATTCCTTGCCCGCGTAGAAGAATCACCTCCAACCCTGTTCAGTACACGCGGCCAGCGTGCGGGTTCCACGCGGCCCGCGTAAGACTTTGTGCGGCCATCGTGCGGGTTCCACGCGGCCCGCGCAGATTTCCGATTCTTTGCCATTTTCAAGCTTCAGGTCCCGCGGCCTCCGTGCGACCAGCACGCGGCCCGCGTGAAAGGTCAGAAGAATCAGTGAGATTTCGAGAAAACTAGACGCGGCCAACACGCGGCCCGCGCCTTACCCGCGCTCCGTACAAAAACTCAATTTCCCGGAGATCTACCGGTCAGAATCCCGCGAGACCACCGCCATTCTTCACCATTTTTCCTCCTCTACAAACCCCTATGCTCTACCCGACCCTCCGATTTAGGTTATTTCCGCCCTTTCCTTAAGCATTGAGGACAATGCTTGTTCTTAAGCTTGGGGTGGGGCATTTCCCTTTTGCTTTTACTTTTTCATGCATTTTTTTTGTTAGGTTGCATTTCATTTTAGTTTTAAGCTAATTTGCATTCATTTTTTTTATAAAATTCCAAAAAGATTTTATTTTCTTCTTTTCTACTTTCTATTTTTGCATAACATTTAGCTTAGGGCATTAGCATTCATGCATTTTTGTTGTCTGTTTATTCTCACCCCCCCTTGGATGCCATGGAACAGGTTCATAGTTATTGTATCATTATTGGTCCAGGATCTTGTTGCTATCTCACCCATCGAACCGGGACCACTAGCTGCAGTTTGGGATTTCATACTTGGGATCAGATGCTGGAAGCTTAAAGGGGTAAGTGATCATGACCAGGTAGTTTTCATGAAGAATTATGCATGCAATACTAACAACTGTAGGATATACTATAGCAATGGATGTTCTTAGCCTTGCGGTCACTACCGCTGAGAGGATCACACTTGATCATGTTTGAACCGTTAAGATGAAGCACTGGTGCTTGTCCCCGAGTAGAATCCATATCCGGTCTCTTTACATCACCATATCTTTTTGCGATTTTCTTAGGATCTTAGAGAGTCTTTTAGTCTGCATATGGACATTTTCATTATTTTTGAAAAATTGCAAGTTTGAAAAGGAGCTTACATCTTTACGCTCCACGCATGGTCATTTTCACATTTAGACCATTCGGATTATATTATTACCCTCTCGGTTCCACTTACATACTCTTGGGAACCAAATTTTGAGTCAAAAAGTTTTCTTTAAAAAAAAAAAAAAAAGAAAAAAAAAAGAGAAAAAGAATAGCATGCGAATTTCCAGCTGCAATAATCGTAGATAGGTGACCGGTTCAATTATTGAACAAATTTTCCTACATTTTGGTCACCCGGCGTTTGATATTCATTTATTTAGGATTGTCTTATTGTATATAGATCGAGTTGTTGTTTTTTTCGCAAATTGATGATGTTAGAGAGACTGTTGAGTCAAATACTACGGGAGGTTTGGGCCAACACTAAGTGAACTGATTCCTACAACGGTGCCCGAGCGATGAAACCCAATCACACTTGAGAGAGGCCGGCAGACGTGAGATCAGAGTGTACACTTAAAAGAAGAGCTCCACACGAGCCCATCCAACTGCTTTCTCCCTACTACAGATGTTCTTCATTGTATGTATGTTCCATTGGGCTGCGACTGCTCATCCCTCCTTACTCACCTAAAGGAGTTGTCCTGGCTGTGGTTTATGGTCCCATTGTCATCGGATGAAAAATTTGTGAGGTAATAGCAAGATCAATTCTGACCATGTTGACTAACGGTGATCAGGTTCCGCG